ACTCAAAAAAAAAAAAAAAAAAACCCTGAACCAAGGACTTCAGACAATACTCAGAACTAGTTGCTGAGTCTTGTTTACTTTTATCTCTTCTCTTCTTGGTCCTTCTCTCCTGATGTACCCACCCCACTGCTGCTCTGGATAAAGTCTGCAGGGAAGGAGAGCAACTGCCCTCGGTCACTGTGGTGCGGGACTAACTGGGCCTAAGGCTGTGGCTGGGCTCCTCCGGTAGGAACTTCCCAGTGCACAAAACCAGCAACTTCAGGGGTGGGAAGTGTTCAGAGCATTAAGAAAAACCTGATCATCTCTATCAAAACCAGCCAGGGCACTGCCATGAATGCCTCTCTGCCTGCAGTCCCATGAGCAGATAACGCACATAATGCCCCTGCTGGCCAACTGCCTGTGTTAATGCTTGTGTGTCTGCAGTGAGGAGATAAATGAAGCTTACTGCATGCAACTCACTCACTCCCTTTATGCCTCTCCATGAAGGCTGGGCAGTGTCTCTGTGCAGCTTCTCTGTGCAGCAGATCCGAATGCCAGGTGACAAGGAGCCGGCAGGGTTTCACCGGTGCTTTCAGACTATGTTCCCAAAGGTGAACTCATGGGTTACCCTGAAAGGGAACCTCAGAGTCCGTCCACCCAGGTTGGTCTCAGGGCACCTTTGCAGCCCAAATACTCAGCATGGACCGAGTGTGTTCAGCTGTTAGCTCAGAAGCCCAGGGAAGCCAGAGGGCCCCTGGCCAGCACAGGAAGGGCCAGGCAGAGTGAGGGGACTGTGCCTGCGGAGGGGGAGCTGAGCAGGGTACTAGGGGTGCCAGCCTGCCAGAGAAAGGGTGGGAACTGGCTCTGGACATGGGGCCTCCAGCCTCCCCTGGGCTGGTCTTGGGGGTGGGGATTTAGGATGGAGGGTTCCATATGGTAACAGCCGTCGGCCTGCCAGCCCTGGCCAGAGTGTCCAGACCTCTGAGACACCTGCCAGAGCAGCCTGGGACCTCGGGCCAGCTGTGTCCTGTACAAAGCTCCACCACCCACCTGTTCTGACAGTGAGGACATCACTTGGGGAAACATCAATGCAAATCAGCTCGACAAATTTGAGTAATGACATCATTTGATGAAACTTACACACAATGATGAAGTAAGAATTTCAGTAAGAAAATCCAAGTCAATGTTTTGAGAAGACTCATTGAAGACAATTGGTTTTGCAAAACAAAAACACCATTGAAGGCAATGCAGCCAAGACAACTATGTTAAAGATGGGGTTCCGGGGAGTCTGACCAGGGCTCTAAGTTCTGCTTCTTCTTCACAAGCATTCCTCATGTCCAGAAAGCAGCACCAGCCAGGATGTCTGCTGGCCTGTGCTGACCCCAATCCGCATCCAGGGGCTCCCTGGGGCCAGGTTGGACTGTCACTTTGCAGGGCAGGGCCTCCTCCACTGGGCACACAGCAGACTTCGCTACTGGGCTGAATCCAATGAGGTGACCGTGGGGATGCCAGGGGCAACTGCTGGGGCATTCCACAGTGACAGGACTCAGGGAGGGGTACGGGAGCTGCCTGTGCGAATGAATGCCATTCCTGGACTGGGCGCGAACAGAAAGTCCCATGGCCATCGTGAAGGGCCAGCTGACACAGGGCAGGACACACTCCCCTCACACCCTCAGGCCTCGGATGCTAAGCGATCCATGCTGCCTTCACCGCAGCCTCCAAGCAAAGGGGAATGAAGTTCAGGTCAGAACCCAAAGCCGAATCCACTGAAGCCAGGAGCAGAAGTGAATCCAGAACTCGGACCTTCGGGCACCTGCGCCAGGGAGGAAGAGCCACGGGGCCTGCTGATTCTCTTTAAGCAAAACTCTTCCAGAAGAGATGTCTTTAAAACAGAAAGCCACAGTTTCTCTAGAACACAAAGGGCAACGCAGGCCCCAAAGGACTGGGAGAGGGCCAGGGCAGGGGGTTTAGGTGCCAGGGAAGTGCAGGCAGTGAATGCTCCAACTGCAACATCCCATCGTCGGCAGTGTAAGAAAGTACCAGCAATGCCAGCTATCAGACCCTAAAAATGTGGCCAATGCAGCTACGGAACTGAATTTAATTTAAACAGCCACAGGGGGCCAGTGGCCACCACGCCATAGAGCACAGAGCCAGGCAACACAGACACCCATAGTGCAGATGGTGCCCCATGAAGGAGGGGTCACCCGAGATTTCCCGAGGACTCCCGACTGTCCCGGTCACCTCCTCCCATCAGGACACTCAGGGACTCAGGCTCTTGGGTGCCTGCCACTTCTTCCACCCCACAGACACACCCCTGAGGTTCAGGGGAGCTGGCGCCTGAAGGATCCTGGATGTCAGCGGCATCGAGGGGCGCCTGAAGAAACCTCATTTGAAAGGCAGTTTCTGAGGGAGTGGCCAAAGTCCAGCACTTGCTGTCAGCACCACACTCACCTGGAGAGACGGGGCACTGCCGGCCAGTGTCCAGCACACACTTCCTCCCCAGAGGCTTTTCAGATGAGGGACCGAGCATGCCTGTCCTAAGTCTCCGTCCCTCCTTAAGAAGCAACTCTGGCCCAGCAAGAGGGCAGAAGAAGGCTCCACACAGCTGCCCTTTCCTCAGGGAGCGGCCAGCCCCTCCAGACCCTGTGGGTGCACAGCCTCCCGCGGCAGGCGCTGGTGATGGCGACAGGTGGCCTCTCCCTGGACACTGGTGCTCTGGGAAGGGACAGATCGATCCCTTCTTCTAATCTGCGTCAGCCCGGGAAAGCATGTGAGTGGCAGCGTGGAGGCAAAGCCTCGAGTCTTATCTGGAAACCACGAAACGGAGATTCCCATTGGCTTTCTCCTCAAAAAATAAAAAAAGAAAGAAAGTAAAAACTTCTAAAGGAATGGAGAGGAGGAGGAGGAAAGGAAAGAGGACTGAAGCGGCAAGAGAAGAGGACGAACTCCAGCCAGCCTTAACCGTGGGCCAGGTATACCAGTTTTCCTGAAATGGACAGTTTTGGTTTTAATGTGCAGTTCTCCAAACATTTTAGATTTTTTTTTTAATGTAAGGAAGTGAGGAAACTTTTCACCAATCTGAAAATACTGATGGCGTCCATGGGCAACCATGATTAGCAATGGGGACTCTGGACCTGGGCGAGCCTGAGCAGTACACCGATCCACATTGGTTCTCAGTCCCAGAACCACCAGGCTCCGGGGAACCTGCATCACCTGCACCCGCCAGGCCCAGGAGTGGATTAGCAAACACCTGACCAACCTGGGCACGGCCGAGGCTCCTGCCCCAGCGAGGGCCTTTCCTCCTGCACCTGGGCTGTGTCCCCATGTGTGGGAGGGGCAGGATGGACTCAGCAGGTGGGGGTAAGCCACAGCTCCAGAGCCTGGAGTCTCCTGCTCGCCCAGGTGGCTCCGATGTCATCAAAAGCATCCCGGATAGGAAGAAATGGGCTAAAGGTGTAGGGAAAGTGAGAAGGGTAGGGGAAAGGGAACAAGGGAAAAGAAAAAAAAAATATGAGAAAATGAAAAAATGGAAATAAACTGTTTGTAAATGGGGAGGGGAGCGGGGGTGAAGGGAGGGCAGGGACAAGGGGAAAAAATGAGAACCAAGACCTGTCATGTAGAGGTACAAGATCCCAATAATGAATGTAACTGTACTGCATACCTAAAATGTACCAAAAAACAGACCAGTTATCTTGACTCAAAAAAAAAGCATCCCTGTACAGAAAGCAGCAGAACTGGGGGGATGGAGCAGAGGGGCAGGGAGCACAGAAGGTGCCACACCCCTGAAGAGGAAAGAGGCAAGCACACAAGCCAAAGGATGCATGCAGTTTACCCCAGCCAGAGAGGGCGAGGAAAGGGGTTCTCCCCGGCCCCCAGAAGGAATGGGCTGCAGACACATGTAAGGACTTCTGCTCAACCTCTAAGAACCCCGAGAGAACAAGCCACTAAATGAGTCTTAGTCTGTCACATCAGCAGTGGGATGCTCACACCATGGTGTCCTCCGCAGCCTGCTCAGGGGCACCGGGCCCCACTGCTCCCCCGCAGCACGTGTAGAAGGAACCTCTCCTTCCTGTGTCTGAATCTCGGCTCTGCCACACTGAGTCCTCCTTCACCCCACACGGACACAAGGCAAACCCTTTCCCTGGGCTGCGGCGTGAACCAAGGGAACACTGCAGCGACTCTGACCCCTTCCACCAGAACAGGTCTGCAATCACCCCTGTACCCATAGGAGGCTCGGGATGTGGTCCACCTTGGACAGACGGACGGACCGCTCCCTGCTTCCACTGAGCCCCTTCCCGCAGGGCTCCTGCTCAGCCGCTGCCAGAGCCCACACCCTGGGGCCACACAAGTCACCCACAATTCCCTCAGGGTAGACAGCAGGCACTGGCAATGTGAGCCAGCCCCCACCACATGCTGCCCAGCCTCCCAGAGGGCTCTGCCCTGCATTTCTTGGATACCAGCAAGAGGACGCTGGCTCCAAAGTCTCCTCCTGGGAAACCCTCAGCCTAAGCCCAGGGCCTCCTCTGGATACAGAATGCACACACCCACACTCCGGGCACCCCTAACTCACAGGAGACCATGGAGCCCTTTCTCCCATTCCTGCTCTGTCCCCCACCACACCCCTCCCTCAGTGAGCCCACACACACCAGATCTCCTTCGCCTCAGCCCCCTCTTCAACACCACAGCCCACCCTGGCTCAGGGTGAGGATTCAGAGAGCCACACTGTCCCACAGTGAGTGATGGGCTGGGAGTCCAGCTGCAGATGGGACTTAAAAATATCAAGTTCAGGCCCACAGGAAGATGCTCCCGCACAGGGTCACAGGAGGGAAAGCAGGAGCCAGTGTGGGTGCGAAGGTGCCGACCCTTCCCTAGGGACAGCGACAGGAAATGAGGACCACAAAGGGCACTGGGCACAGAGGCACGTGTTCAAGCTAGACACTGCCCAGTGCCCTCTCTGTGCCTCGGCCACCAGCTCCTGGTCCTGAAGAGGCGGGCCATCTCCACCTTTCCCACTCTCCAACTCCACCAATAATCCCTCCAGCTCAAAGCATAGCAGGAAGGAGAGAGACAAGGACTTCCACCTGCACTCCACAGCTCTGCACACTCTGTGCCCACAGTGCCTGCAGGCCTGGCTGGGCACCCTGGGAGGAAGGACAGACCCAGGGACAGGGTTCAGCTTGTACTGGGTCCTCCCCATCACACCCAGCTAGAAGAGACAGCAGCACAGCAGTGTGACAGTCCTGCCAGCCCAGGAAGGCCACAGAAGCCGGAAAAGTGTGGCTGTGAGCTGCTGGCTTCCAGGAGAACAGGAAGCAACTCTGTTTGTGGCACTCTGTCCAGACAGCCATGGGAAACCAACACAGGGCCCTGGGTTTACCTGATCGTAACCCTAGCAGCCTCCTGCCTGTCTCTGCAGCCTGCTGCACTCAGTTGCAGCCAGCTCTTCCTGGGGTGTGCAAACAGGAACCATGGCAGAGATGGCACCTGCCCGCCTGTGACACACTGGCCTTCGAGGCCTGCTTCACACAGTACAAAGGCGGTCAGAACTTGCGGCACATCCACAGTGCATACACTCCACCACTCCTGAATGCTTCCAGAAAGAACAACACAGACCAGCAAGCCCACACTGAACCTGAGTTAATAACAGATACGTGAAAAAAAAAAAAAAAAAAAAAAAAGATGACATGCAAGCAGCAGCTCTTCGCCTGGTCTTGACCTTAAAACGCACTGAAACAGCTGCGAAACGGACAAGTTATAAAGCGAGAACTGTTATGAGTTAACTGCATTATCTACACAGGTCAGTATTCACTATAAAATTCACTGCTTGGGGGCTGGGCATTTAGCTCAGTGCCACCACACCTGCCTCGCAAGCGCAAGGTCCTGAGTTCAATCCCCCATACTAGGGGGAAAAAAAAAAGAATTCGCTGCTCTGTAGTTTATGAAAAGTTTTGGAATAAAACATTGTGAAACAATAGTTCAGTAGCAAAATATCCTTCTAGAATCTTCAAGTTTACGTGAGAAGATTTTGATATTTACACTTCACAGCAGGCTTTTTAGGAATATTTTCATTAGAAATAAATGAGAAAAGTGTTCATAATAGCATTCAGACACAGGGGCCCCTGCTTAGTTCCTTGAAACCATCTCCTTCCATGCCCTTCATTACACCAGGAAGGCCTGAGATAAGACACTGCCACACAAAGCTGTTCTCTAGAACACTAAAAGAGTTCACTTCCCAAGTCTGGAGTTAAGTCAGAGTGCCAGCTGCTAGTGCTTCCAGATGGTATCAGATACAGATTTAACCCTTGAAGGGTTCCGGAAGGGACGTGACAGCATCCTCTCCTGGGTGGGCTTCACTGAGAATCCTGGGCCAGGGTCTCTCTGAGGGTACCGAGCTCTGCCTGTGTGCAGGAGAGAGATTTTCAGGGCTGCACAGAGGAGCCCGAGTCTTCAGTGGCCAACCTGAGTTAAAACCAGCCCTTGGGAACGAATTGAGTATGTAAGTCAAGGGTCCATGGAGCTTTTAAAAGCCTTCTGTTCACTCCCATAAGAGTGATGCAGCCAAGCCAGGGGGACTCCTCCGCCTGGGCTTGGGAAGCTGGCAGGGGGCACCAGGCTCCGGACAGCAGGGACCAGTGCAAGTCAACACCAGACCCATCTGGATCAGCCCCTTGGCTACATGTTAAGTTGCTGCATGGTGCAGCGGCTGAGGCTTGGACAGCACAGGAAGGCCCAGGCAGAAGCATCAATACCTCACAGGGAATTCGTGGGGAGCTGGCTGCTGATGTCTGGCTTGAGCAATCGGCCCCAGACCATTCCCACAAGGGAGGCACCCTGAGGCAGAAATCAGGGTCTGCGGGAATTAATCCTCCGTAAGAGTAAGGGCATCACCAGAGACACTGTTCCCAACAGGGGCCAGGCTGTAACTGAACCCCAGTTTGTGCATCTAAGGGAAGCACCCTCCTGCTCGTCAGTACAGTAGCCGGAGCACTTTGAGATCCCATAGATAAGGCCATAGCTGTGATCATGAATGGATTTTAAAAAGCTGTGTGGGCTGAACCAGAACATCCTGAGGAAAGGTGGCCATGGGAAGGGGAGCTATTGACTGGTCAGGAATAATTTCCTCCAGCGGAGCTCACGTTCCACCAGCAACACACACCCTCCACAACAGACAAGGCCCCGGGAGACAGGGCTTGGGGACCAGAGACCCGGGCTATCGCCTACCTCCCGGTGACACACACGGGACCTGGAGCAAGCTTCCTACCCCTAAACATTGGTTTCCTTGGGTAAGAGAATCCGCTTCGCCAAAGCCATGGGGAGGGATTTAAACCAAACAACACATTCGAGCACCTGGCCCAGGGCCTAACGCACACCAGGCACTCCAGAAACGCTGGTTTCCTCCCTGCCTACTTAGGAGCCCTTTTCTGAGTTACAGCAAAGTTCATTATGGCAAATTCCTAGAACTCACCCTGCCCAAGAACAAGACAGTGGCTCTATTAACAACAGAGGCTCCCCTGGGCTACAGTTAGCGCAGGACAAAGGGAACTGTAAGGTCCAGCTGTAAATGCAGTAGTGTGTGCTGAAGACCCTGGATCCAATTAATTTCCTCCACAAGAGGAACCAAAGCTTTTCAGCTCCAACTCTGGCCTGTGTGGAAGAAATCAGAGCCTCCTAGTGAGAACCCAGGCAGCTTCCTAGGGTTCCCACTTTCCTCTGGCCAAGCCAAGAGGCAAGTATGAATAAAGCCACACCCCACGAGAGGGCCAGGAGTTGCTAGCTGCAGGACGACCCAGCGTATTCACCACCGAAGGCAGGGGAGGAGGTATTTGAGAGGGATAAAAACAGCGCAGGCCAGGCAAGGAGGGCCAGAAGGGCAAGGCAGGAGAATACAGAGGCCAAACGCTGGGAACCAGGTGGCCTTGGAGGGGGGATACAGGGAGCAGAGGGAAATCCACCCCCGTGCCCAGGGCCTGCGCCATCCAGGCTACCAGATCAGGGCGCCCTGTTCCAGCACCCTCAGAGGGCGGTCCTCAGGGGCCGGGCCCACCCGCACCTGAGTGCTGAGCTGGCCAACAGAAGGCTAGGTAGGCATCCCTCCCACTCCTCAGCCCACAGCGCATGCAGTCCCCTTGCACACTGTAATCACTTGATTACAGTCATAATATGTTATGATTCCACTGCACTGCTTGCTTATTATGTCATGAAAAAACAGAGATACAGTTTCAATTACACTTAATGCCACAGAAGAATGAAAGGAATCGTTTTCCATCCTACAGAACAGCTATAAAAGTTCCCTGCACACTGATTTCCTCCAGCAAGACGGCTCAGGATGGTCACACACTTGCAAAAGTTTAATGCTGTACTTACTCCAGGCTTGCAGCTCAAATATTCTGTCATCATCTATTGCGATGAGCATTTTCTGCTCATTTTCACAATATCCGGGTATTAGC